GCGGCCACCCGGGAGCCCTCACCAGCTCCACCTACCTGTTCTCGTTATTTTGCTTCCCTTCCACGTGGACCTTAGGCCCTTCTTCCTCCATTCATGTCCCTTTCTCCATCCTGCTTCTCTCCTCTTTCTCCTTTTCGTCCTTTATTTCGTTTTCTTTTTGTTTTTTGTTTTTGAGACAGGGTGTCTCTCTGTCGCCAGGCTGGAGTGCACTGGCGCCATCTCAGCTCCCTGCAGCCTTGACCTTCCAAGCTCAGGCTGTGCTCCCCCCTCATCCCCTGGAGTAGCTAGGACCACAGACACTCACCACCACATCCAGCTAAATTTTTTTTTAGTTTTTTTTTTGTAGAGACAGGGTCTCCTTTTGTTAGCCAGGCTGGTCTCTAACTCCTGGGCTCAAGCAGTCCTCCTGCCTCAGCCTCTCAAAGTGCTGGGATTACAGGTCTGAGCCTCTGGGCCAGGTCTCCCATCTTCTCTACCTGTAGGTTTGTCAGTGGTCCACATCACTGAGACACCCCCTTCCACAAGTGCTCTCCCAGAGTAAGGGCACTTGATTTTGTTACATGCATTAAAAAGATACACTGCTAGACTTGCCATGACAGTTTCTAAGCTGGCTCCATCCTTCACATCAGCACCAGTTGTAAATTTACTAATTTATGAAAAGTAAGCAACAACCCCAAACCCCATTCCTGGGGGCAGGGCCTGTGGAGCGCGGTCTCCGACTGGCCTTGCGTATATAAAAGCTCTTTACTAGACCTTGCAAAATCAAAAGCCTACTGAAGTCCCAGCCCAAATACGATTCAGAAACCTGCTGGCAACCACAAAAGAGCAATTTGTGTCCCTTTCTAGCAATCAGAGTCTTAAAAATATTATGGTTTTGTGGCTGGACAGGTTGGCACTATAGTGGTGGTGGCTTCCAACATGTTTTTTTTTTCCATTCTGAGGTCATCTTTGTGGAAGCCAGACCCAAGCACAGGAGTTCAAAGCCCCTGCTGTGGAGGAACTGTGACTTCAAGGGCTTCCATCCAGGTCAATATCAGGGGGTGCCTTTCCAAAACGCCTCCTACTTAATTTCCTCTGTGCACCGTGGTAACTCGAGGGCCTTTCAATTGCTTTCCTGTGCCCCTTCTTTGTATGTCCAAATTTAGCATCACTTCCAAGTCCTAAAATTTGTTATGCTTCCACTTCCAGACCCATTATTATGTTTATGGATTTTTTAAAAAATAACAAAACTGTAACCTCCGGAAATAGTCCACCGGGTACTTTATGTTTTAACTGAATCTGCCCTGTCTGTCATCTAGAGTCGTTCATTGCGACATCATAAAAAGCAGGCATGACAATGCATTAGCAGTCCGACTGGGTGTTTGTGGATTTTCTCGTTACAATTCTGCCAGAGCAACCTACAATTCTTGCTCAAATTGAACTTTGCTGAAGAGTGATATTCATCCATTATGTTTTCAGAGCAGTTTTCTCTTTTCTGACTGACCTTTAATTTTATGCTAACCTCTATACTTCAGTCTTCATCTTCTCCAGACCCCAGATTCCCCCTTTCCAAAATTAGCCCACTTGTTACCCTGTGTCAGAGGGATATTTGCACAGGGTGGTCTACTGAATAGACTGAGGCGTGCCAAAAAATGAAATTGCAGGCTTCCAGACTCGGAGAGCTTTCAGAGCAAATTCTGGCCATCACAGAAGCATGTCAGGCACCGGACACCAGGGTTGGTGAATATGAGTCGCTCTAAAGAGATGCCCAAAGCCCCTTCTCCCAACCGGGGAAGAACACTGCTCCTGGCTCTTTCAGTGAGACCTACAGCCTCAGTTTCTGTATCTAGATACCAATGCCTAGCTACAGACCCCTCCGGAAGGGGAGTGGTTTTTGAAGGAACAGGCTAGGCCAACGTGCTGTGACCATCCACTGGTCCAGAACACACCACTAGGGTTGGAAAGTGATGGAAAGCAGCAGGCATCTGCTAGACTGCAGATTTGGGGACCAGGAAGGGATCGCTAGACAAAGGCATGGCTTTAGTGGGGCCTCCCCAGCCCCACCCCAACGACCACAGCAAAGCACAACCAACCGGACTTTGAGGGCCCCCACAGAAGGACCAGCCTCAGGATTTTGTTCATGAAGGAGGGAAGGATAACTGTCTCTCTCACTTCCCACAGAACCCCCAGTTCATTCAGGCGAGCAGCAAGCCTCTAGCTGATTTCTTAAGTTAAACCACACATCCATCCTGTCTCCTGGGTATCAGGCCCAGTGCCAGTCTGCAGCTGCCCAGGTGATAACAAGTCAGTGTGGCTCATGAGGACTTTGGAGGCCACTGAGAAGATGGAGAATGTGAGCCAATGGTTACTTTTTTTTTTTTTCGAGACAGAATCTCGATCTGTCGCGCCCAGGCTGGAGTGCAGTGACTCGATCTCAGCTCACTGCAACCTCTACCTCCTGGGTTCAAGCCTTTCTCCTGCCTTAGTCTCTCAAGTAGCTAGGATTACAGGCGCCCGCTACCGCGCCCAGCTAATTTTTTGTATTTTTAGTAGAGACAGGGTTTCACCATGTTGGTCAGTCTTATCTCGAACTCCTGACCTCAGGCGATCTGTCCACTTCAGCCTCCCAAAGTGCTGGGATTACAGGCATTAGCCACTGTGCCCAGCCCAAATGTTGCTATTCTAAGGAGGCTTTCACTTTTTAAAACAAGGGTATCATTTTCCATTGTGGTTGAGAAGGATTCATGTGAACAAACAGAACTGTCTCCTAATTTTTCTCATAATTAGCTGCTGCTGCATATGCAATGAATAGATTTGCTCATTTTTGGTTAGACATGTTGTTTTTCACATGATTATATTCTAGATATTTCCCAAGCAGTTGCTAGCGGCTGTTTCGTTGGCCTTGTCTCTCCTGAGATTAGACATGGGGCTTGTTAGCAAGGGTAACTTCTGTCTCATCTCCATCCTGTTCACCCAGGAATTCTGTGTAAAGCCCCCACTTGTCCCATTGAACTCGTGGACTCAGTTTTTCTGGGTGATCACATTCTACTTTTTCTTACCTTTTTCTCACACTGTGTTAATGTGTTCAGCATGTTTTCTAAAAAGTGCCATTGTTAATGTCTTTTAAAATGTAAGATAATTAGTTTCATTTTTCCGAAAAGAAAAATTTGATCTCATTTCCTTAAACATATCAGAAAACATATTTTTGGCTTTGAAACCATATGCAGCAGTGATGGGTATCATTTTAGCTAGTGATGGGCATCCTATAGCGAAGCTAGTAGAAGAGCCATTCTTGTCGGGGGTGGTGGCTCACGCCTGTAATCCCAGCACTTTGGGAGGCCGAGGTCAGTGGATCACGAGGTCAAGAGATCAAGACCATCCTGGCCAACATGGTGAAACCCCGTCTTTAAAAAAGAAAAAAAAAAGAGCCATTCTTGCTAACTTGTCTGAAGGAGAAATCTACCAGGGCGATCCCCATGAGGGGTCTGCTTGAACCTGTCAGAGCCCACCCCTTACTAGGTACAAAATAGATGTTTATTAATTAGATGGTTTAGAGTTTTCTATGTCCTGTGGACGGCATTGTATAACAGATAATTTAAGATTTCCCAGATGACCTGCATTTTAATTAAATTGGAATTTTGGCACCTTGTGCCAACAGAAGGAAGTTTAACCCAAACTTCTCAGCCATTTTGGTCTGTTATATATGGCAGTTTTGACAAAGTCAAAGTGATAATGTGACATTTTGGGCAGAGAAGAAAACCACACTCCCTCCGTAGGAAGTGACGGGCTGCTTATATTCTCGTCCCATTTCTGTCATTTTTCATCTATCTTCTGATTATGCTTACGGTGTGTGCTTGCACAAGTAGCACCTTAGGATTTTAGCCCCTTCTCTAAGCGCACCGTGAAACCCGAATATCAATTGAGAAAATGCGTCAAAGCCACAGGGTATGGTTTCCTCCCTAAAGTCAGGCATTCCAGGAAAGCCTTCACAGGACTGTCAGGAATAAGAATGGTGTTTAATAAAAGCCCACTCTCCATGAACCTAAGAGCAGAGGTGGGAGGGTAAATTGTTTCTGATGCAAAGTCCCAGCCACATACTTCCTCATGATTTCTTATAGGCTTTCACAGTGGGGTGTAACAATTGTAATGCCTTATTAAATTGCCATTTTTAAGTCTTGCCCTTGGATTTTCTATAGTGTCTGAGAGCCTGTAGACAGTAGGTGCTGAAGACTTTTCAGTGCTTTGTTTTCTATAGCATTTCTCAGGCTACTGATGAGCAGTCACACGGGTGTCCCCAAGGGAAGACTCTGTGGCTTCTGGAGCTGGAATCCTGGCTCCCTGAAGTGGGGAGGGAGGGAGGGAGGGAAGAGGGAAGGGGGTGTGCAGGAGGGCCAGTGGCGATGGCTTCCAAAATGACTAATCCTTATAGAACGTCACCAGGAAGCCCTCTACTCAGCGTTCAAAGCCCAAATGCTCAAAACAGAATTTCAATGACAATAAAAGCGACACAGAAATTGTGACCTCCTACTGCTGTGCCTAGTGTTAAGACAGCTTACACCACGTACAGGTTGTCAAC